GTGTTTCGTTTCACCAAGTTTTGACCTTCTATCCTGGATTTCTTATTTATTTCGATAATCATTTGAAAAAAATGGTTATTCCTGAGGGCCAGATATTTTATAGTAATGTTACTAATAAGTAGGTAATTGCTTGTACTTTACTTTAACTGTGAACAATCGATTTCGTTTCACACTTGTTTCACTGAGCAAATAAACCAGCCCTTGATTTTATTTCATATTCCGTGGCACTGCTCACAAGTGAGGACATGTAACCAAAAATCCGCATTGAAGTCCTCGTTTGGTAGGAGACATTCGGTTGGGGTTCAAAGGACATTCAATCTCTCCTTCAATCCGTCGAGTCAATAATTGGCTGAATTTAACTGAAAACATAATCTGAAACAAGCTTAAGATATAATGGGCATCCTCCATAAGTAGTGTCTCTGACCTGACAGACTTGTTTCCCTCGAGCATCCTCCACTTTTCGTGGTCCTCGTTATTCACTTACCCAATGCTGTGCTAAAGCATGCGTCACCTGCCACACCCCGGTAAACTGCTCAACTGTTGAACCGACTCGATTTGAGGATAACTGAGGCGTAAAACCTCAGTGAGATATTACACGGCGTGCGAAGATAGTTAATTTTGAGCAGACGGTTGAAATCTACTGCCTGATTTAACGGAACTAAGGGAAATCTGCCAAATCAACGGGTGTGTAATAATCCTAGTGTTTCATCTACACCGTGCAATCTGAATTCGACTGCGCGGAGGCTCAAGGTTCACCCTTGAAATAAAAAAGGCCAAATGATACTGGAGATGTACCTTGTACCGAGCTCTCAAGAAATCGCACAATCATCACGAAGCTGGCTTATCCTTTTCAAAGAGCTAACTTTTTTTCAAGTCCCAGTAACACGAACTTGTTTTTTCTTGGTTCGGGACAAAAGTTAGTTGACGAAGTGGTACCACACTTGGCATGCGTTCGGGAGGGGGGATGGTCAGGATTCAATTCCGGATTAGACTGGTGAGCATATACCTCTTTCAGCCTCGTCCAAATGGCTCTTGTGCATTGTCCGTTTCAATTTGAGCTCGGTTTACCAAATTACTAATATCATCTAATAGTTTACTATCTGTTTCGCTCGTTTAAGTTGGCCGGTGGGTAACTTCCATCCGAGCTGCATATTATCCAGTTGTATTTCTACGTTTGTGCACTGACGTAATGTGCTCCTCACCCCACCCCCACCCATGCACTCCATTTCCTGCAGATAAACGATTTGTATCCGGTCCATTTCTGTTTGCCCCATATGGCCTACAGTCTGTCACGCGAACCAAACCAGAATCTCATTCCGGCTATTCGACCTATGGCTGTCTGGCGCGCTATGGATCGAATACGACCGTATCATGCACTGCTACTGGTCTCCAGAAAAGAGGAGCTGATTGAACGTCACATTCCGCTAGACATCAACGCAACTATGTTCGAGTATGTCCCAGTCTTATTGATCTTCCCACCTTGGTTCTTCTTTTTCTATCATCATCATCTCAGTCTTGTTATTCTCGTCATATTTTGCTCTCATAGTTTATTCCGTGTCTTACTAGACCGAATCACGGATAGAGATGCGGGGTGAATCATTTTTTAGCAACACGATTATTATACATTATTGCATTTCACACGCGTCTGAGTTCCAACTGTGTGTCAAGCTGATTACCGTGCAGTAATCTCTATAACAAAGAAATGGGTTTCACCTAGGCGATATTTTCCAAGGTTGCTCAAGAAAAAGATGCTCAATCTAGCCGGTGACCACGGCCAGAACCAGGAAGATGTAGGTATAGTTTCTACGATTCGTGATTTGTTTTAACTCAGGATTTTCACCAATGTCCTTAGTTGAACTGCGAGCGATTCGTCGCTCCTTTTTGTAGCACCGGGTATGGGTTTATCGTTCCGTCACTTTGGTAGGGAATCACCTCCGGCACCTAAGGGTAGTCAGTAGAGATTTCTCAGCAGAGGCTATTTGAGGTGCATTTTGCGAGGTACAAAGAAAGGATAACCAGTTACATCTGAAAACACTCAGTCCTGACCGTACTGAGGTTTTCTGAGGCACCTACACGAGAGCTTGATTTTACATTTTAATCTTCGCAGTGTGCTTTCCTTCCTTTACTGTGCACTCTGTCAGCATGCATCCATCCATCCCCGTTTTCTTCTTCTTGATCATGTAAGTCGGTGTACATCCGATTCCGCTCATTTGAGACTAACTGAATATAAAAAGAACCAGAACAACGGTAAGGGATCCATGATTTAAAATAAAGAAACAATTCTGGTAACTCAGTTTACCTCCTTATTCGTGAGCAGTGATCGATAATTGCCCTTTATCTTTTTATCTTATATTTCTTCCATTTTACTTCCTTGCGTTGAATATATACAACGATGTAGTTTTCAGGAGGAAACCGGCCAGTCAGAGGGATGTCGTACACACAGGAAATTCAGGGAAATTCAGGTGGTGGTGGAATTTGAACGCGCGTTTCCTGAGGGGATAATTTGCAGACCTTTCACGCTTCACTACCACCGCGTACAGTGTGCTGTTGCCCCTATGGTTTTGAAATTTGGTTGCATCATACGAGTGCCATGAAATTGCCAGTACCATGTCATACGTATTGGTGGCACTTTTACTGATAACCACCTTTTTCATCTCAAATCAAGGTGCACGTTAACAGACAAACCAAACACTTGCTTACTCATAGGAATACATTTATTTACTCAGTAGTTGCTTAACTATGAATCAGTGCACATTATTCAACTAACAAAAATAATGAAATACATGTGTTATTTACTCCAATGGTACGTGCAGTTGAATAATTCAAGCGGGGAACAATGTGGAGTCGAGTTCCCAGCGCTGTCTTGCGTGATTTCTGTGCGCGTGCTGTACTGTACTGTTGTGCACTCTACTCCACCGCATTCATGTGTACACTTGGTCCAGTTTGACTGTGGGTGCCACCAGAGATATCACCTGTTGTGCCCAAATCGCTCAATTTTAAGCAGTGCAACCGGAACAGAATGATTTTCACAATTAACAACATATCATTTCGCACACGCGGCGAACTGAACAGATACAGATAGAACCGGAGACCAACACACGTCCAGTACATGATATTAATAAAATTGTACAGAACATCTTTCAGCGAACAAATATCACGCGCGGTGAGCACATTCTCGAATTCTGAATCAACCAGTTTGAACAAATTAATCGGCAGTGCACCGAACATGAACACCGCTCCAGACACGATTGTGATTCGACAGGAAAATATCACCTCCCAAAACGCGGCAGTCGAGGGGGGCAGTTCGGCACGTTGTTTTTTACTCATTGTCACAATTGAAAGTCCTTTGCCGATGCGCATGTGATTCGCGTACATTTTCAACATTTGACGGTGCATCAGGATCAGATTACCGATACTGGTGGCCATGATAATTGCAAATGGGATCAGGCATTTGTAGACCAAATCGACGAAGAAAAACACCCTGTGATTGTAGGCCGGATCGCACACGGCCTGAGTGGATGAGAATAGGATAGCATTTTTCCCGATGGTCATCAATGAGCTGATTAGAAGAGTGAGAGCGCTCGGCAACAGTTTGTTCTTATCTCGACTGTAGCCGGATGTGGGGCGAAGCATGAGCCAGAACCGTTCGGCCGTGATCGCGCACATAAACCAAGCCGAGCCGTCTTGACTGCAATACTCACCAAACAGTTGCAAACGACAAAATGACTCGCTATAGAGCAGTCGCACGTCATACTGAGTCAGGCATAGAATGGTGTAACGCAAACAGCTGATCAGCTGACCACAAAAATCGACCAGGGCCAAACAGGCCATCATCAGCTGGGTGGATGCGCGTAAACTGCGTTGACTTGGCTGAGTCGAAACTGTGCTGCTACCGGTGGTGGCGTCCGTGTACGAGCTGATAGACAGTTTGGACGGTTTACGAAACATGAACAGATATATCCAGGTGAGACCACTGCCAGACAACCCTCCAAGAATGGTGATGAGTCCAACAGTGGCCACAATATAATTTGCTACTTGATATTCCGGACAACTCCTGT